TATATATATATATATATATATATATATATATATATATATATATATATATATATATATATACCAGGCGGCTACGCACGCTCTCGCGCGCGCTAGGGGCTCTAACCATGAGAGACGGAGCCGCATGAGCTGATTTTCATTATAGACCTTTATCGGATTTATGAGTTTCCGCTCAAACATCGCCTCCTGTGGGCGGAATTTGGTCCTGCGACCCACCATGAGTGTTCCCATCCTGTCGCCTGTACTCCTACCGAGTTTGAACTTTCTAGTTCCGTGGGGACAGAAGTTATGAATTTTCGCATAAACCCCGCCCCCTGTGGGCGGAGTCTGGTTCTACCACCCACCATAAGTTTCCCCAACACGGTGTCTGTACTCCTACCGAGTTTGAACTTTCTAGGTCCATTGGGACAGAATTACGAATTTTCACCCAAACCCCGCCCCTTGTGGGCGGAGTCCGGTTTTGCCACACACCATAAGTTTTCCCATCATGCCGCCTGTACCCCTACCAAATTTGAACTCTCTAGGTCCATGGGAACTGGAGTTATGGATTTTCGTATATAAATGTAAGAAGGGACGTGAGCTTTGAGGCACGCTCCGCCCATTGTGGGCCGGCCTCCGCTGACGTCATTTATGCTGGAGACACCTTCGACAAAGCTTCTCCCAAATCAACTTTTTCCTGCTCTGTTGGCCTTCTCCAAACCGAGTTATAAATGTTTTCGTAAAGCACTGCATTTTTGGAGAACGCCCCGCCCATCGGGGGTGGGTCTCCCCAGTTCGATCCAACTTACCAATGCACACCTCTAGCCACCTTTAAACCCCAATTTTGAGGCCGTGCTCTAGGTCCCCGGGGGTAGGTGTTTTGAATTTCCGGTCAGACACACACACACACACACACACACAAACACAAACACGCCAACAGACGCACTTAGCCGATTATATAAGTAGGATACTGCGTTGCACAATGATTCAACCACCCAACATCACCAAAAGTCAGTTCCAGAGCACTTCAGGAAACGGCTTAATATGGAGATTGTGCCCTACTCGGGCGGTAACTTGTAGACCAACAACGAGTTCCACTTCAATAACATGGACAATTTTCCCTTCATTTTTTCGAGAAGGCCGTTTCGCCTATTTTACGATATTTTACGAAATGATACAGCCACTAAGCAAATCAATTTATTAGGTTGGCGGAAAAGTGCACATTTTCGTTTTCATGTTGTAAAATCTTTGGGGATTGCTTCGAAGCCTCCATTGCGAAACATGTGTGAGTGCACGCCAATGCGCTCTTCATATCATAACTGCCGTAGCATTTCGCACAGTTATGGCAGCAAGAATCGCTTTCGACTCAAAGCATGTTAAACCGGTTCTGCTCTGTAAGTTCAGAAAAAACGTTAATCCAAATTGAGCGACAGGGGTAATACGTGATGCGATATAAGCCTTCATTCTCTCTCACACAACAACAAGAAATTTGTACCACAAGTTCAAAAATAGCCAATTTGACTAGACCTAAAAACCACGATCTGGGAGACCAGTTGACCTGAATGATGACCACCTTCCGGGACTGGTTGAAGAGGATTCTAGTAGTAGTACCCGCGTTTTGAAACAGGAACTCAATAGACATCAAGACACTGCCTGCACATTTGCTTCGCCTTGGAAACACATGAAGATATGGAGATATGGATAAGTAGTGAACCGAGTGGTCACCACTTCAAAATGAGTAGGGATTCAAGCGTGAACTTGTTGACTTTCCGGCGCACCTACTTATGGCTGGAAAACTTAATCACCAGCGACGAGGAGTGTGTTCTCTAAGTAAATTTTACAAGGAAGAGCCAGCAACTCGGATGCATAGAGCATGGAATTCCGGCCCCCGTATCAGAACTCCAACATAGGAAGGTAATGCTCAGCGTTTGAAGCCACTCGGATCATTCAATGGGACTTGCTGCCACCAAAATCCACTTTCAGCACCAGAAGCCTTTGTACTCTGAAACTTGGGGAAAAAAACTTGGGGGAAAAAACAGAACTTCAAAGCTCGGGTTGGCATGTTCTGACCCACCCACCGTATTCACCAGACCTGGCTCTAACGGATTATCACCTGCTCCTGTCGCTGTCAGATCACCAGAAAAATAAGAAACTCGGTGATATGAATCAACTCGAGAGTGCATCGGCAAGTTTCTCCTCGAAACCCCAGGAATTCTATGTAAGCAAGACCCACAAGTTGCTTGATAAATGGCATACCTTTTCGTAGTGGCGGTGAATATGTAGATTAGTTATGAGTTGTCGTGAAGGAAAAAAATAAAATTGAAAAAAAAAATTGCAAAAGTTGCAAAGACTTATCTAGCAGCTAAATGATAACAAAGGGAGGACATTGCGTGATTGGTAACCAATGAAGCCCCCATTCCTTCGAATCACCAAAAAATACGATTATCTAGGCCTAAGTAGAGGCTATCAATGAGTTTCTGGTCAGCTTGGTGTCCCAAACCTTGACGGTTGCTTTCTTCAGCTCGCTGATATCTCCAACTGCATGTTTCCTTCATAAATCTTCTTTATTATGAATCCCGTCAAGGCTGTTCACCAGCCAGGGCAAAAGGCAGATATGGTGCCGACTGAACCGGGCCTGGGTGCTCCGACTAACGTGAATCGGGACCGTCAGTTGCAGACCAACATAGAGTTTCATATCAATAAAATGGACTTACCCTTCATTTTTTCGGAAAAGATCACTTTGCCTTCATTGCAAAATGATAGCGCATCTCACATTTCTCGTCGTTTCTCCATCTTCACCGCACACAATTGCTTAATTTGTGTCAAACTTTCTAGTTTCAGACAATAGGTAAGGGAAAGTTGCGATCCGATTTCGAGAGGATTTCAAATTCGTGATAAATAGGAACAAGGACTGTCAAATCGCAAACCGCTCGGGATTTATGCCGATGCCACTTATTTGTCGACAATTTCGTCAGGAATCCTACAGAGTATGGGATCATAAGAAGTACGAGACGCCTTTCGTTACTTTCTGAAGGAAATAAGCGAAGGGTTTTGTGAGAAGCTTCGAATACGACAAAGCCATGAACGGAAATCAGGTCCTCTTCGAAGCTCAATGTCCCAAGGATTTTTGTTTGAAACGTGATAGAAAAGTTTATCGCTGACGGGAAATAAGAAAGACGTTCTTCATGACCGAAAAGCATCGCGATAACCGGGCCGTCTTTCGGTCGGAATAACATCCGATCCAACAGGAGTAAGGTGCCTTTTTATGAGTTGCCGTTTACTCATCTTTCTCTTGACGTTTTGTTCTTCAGGTTGTTTTATTTTGATAAAAAAAGCTTAAACGTGATGCCCCAGATGGAGACCGGTTCTACTGGCACGATCAGCGAGAGGAAAAGATTCAGTATTTCAGACGAAATTTTAAGGGAGGAGCAGTCATGGTATGAGCAGTAACTTCTTCTCGTTACGTTCTCATTTATGGTTTGTTCACAAGAATCTCACCTCTTCCGATTATCAAGTCGTAATGTGCCGTGCTCTACTTCTTTTCTGGCTTCAGAATCGGCAGCAGAACCCCCTATTCTTGCAGGATAATGCCCCGATTCACGTTAGTCGGAGCACCCAGGCCCGGTTCAGTCGGCACCATATCTGCCTTTTGCCCTGGCTGGTGAACAGCCCTGACTTGAATCTAATGGAAAACGTATCGGGGATTCATAGTAAAGAAGATTTATGAAGGAAACATGCAGTTGGAGATATCAGCGAGCTGAAGATACACAGAATTCCTGGGGTTTCGAGGAGAAACTTGCCGATGCACGTTTCGAGTTGATTCATATCACCGAGTTTCTTATTTTTCTGGTAATCTGACAGCGACAGGAGCAGGTGATAATCCGTTAGAGCCAGGTCTGGTGAATACGGTGGGTGGGTCAGAACATGCCAACCCGAGCTTTGAAGTTCCTTCTGGGCCTCCTCCGAAATGTGTGGGCGAACACAGTCATGAAGAAAGTAGACTCTCCTCTGTTTCTCTCGTAGATCTGCAGCAATAAGGTTCACAGAGTACACAAGCTTCTGGTGCTGAAAGTGGATTTTGGTGGCAGCAAGTCCCATTGAATGATCCGAGTGGCTTCAAACGCTGATCATTACCTTCCTATGTTGGAGTTCTGGTCCAGTACAATTAATCACATCCACACAGTTGCAAGACTCACTGAAGTATCACGAGTGCAAAAAACACTGTTACATTCATCGATTTGAAGTAGGCCCTCGATGCATTTGAGACATAAGTGGTACTGAAGCCCTAGGCAAGCAGGGTTTTGGGCTCAGGATGAGCATGCTGTTAGCATTAGTCAACGCGCTTCGGAAAGAACGATGCTCGGAATTTCCCTTTTCACTCGAGTGCAGAAGGGAATCCGGAGTTCCGAGCTCCGTCATTGAACGAAGATCAGGGTGGCTTTGCCATTAATCAAAGATCAGGTGAGCCGAACACTTCACCATGGCGGTTGCTGACTGGATTCCTCGGGACGTCAAGCGAACACCCAGACGGCCGCCAACGAGATGGTTGTTTTAGAACGTTTTGAACAAAGATCACTCTCCGATCTTAAATCACTTTGGAGAAACATTATCTTGCAACAGGACTGGGCACTAGCACATGGGTCGACCCCACGATTTCCTTCTGCCGAAATCATTTTCCTGGATTCTGAGACAAATACATGCGGCCATCTAACTCCCCAAACCTCAAACCAATGATTTACTCCTTTTAGAGCTATCTGCAGCAGCTGAAAAGATACACATTAGGGAGGGGTTCCTTTTCACAGTAACGCCGACTATTAGGGGTCCCACGCTCAAAAATCTTGAGGTAAGTACGGATACGAAGCATGATGCGTCCCCATACCATAACACCTCGACCACCAAAACGATCAATTTCCACAACGTTTCTGAGAGACGTGCGTGTCCCCACTTCTGGCCACGAGGGTCCATCCAGAATCACTACTCAGACTGAATCTGCTCCCATCCGAAAAAAGCAAACGGCCGCATTTTTCATCGATCCGTTCACTGTTTTCCTGGCACCACCCTAAACGGTCACGCCGAATCGCGAGGATCAAAGGAACACTACGTAGTGGTCGTCGGGCGAAGAGACCGTAACCGTGCAGTCGTCGTGCCACTGTAGTGCGTGGGATGGCTTGCTTCAAAATCCTGTTAAATGACATTGCAATCAAAGAAGCTGACTGACGTGGATCTCTTCTTGCCTCCTGCACAATGTAGCGGTCATACCTTAGTGTAGTTGTTCTTGGTCGACCACCTCCTCTCCTTCGAGCACCAGTATCAGAGGTTTGGAATGCTCTCTGTGCACGCGAAACAACGTTGTGAGCGATACCAGGTTCCTGAGCTGAACTCGTCACGGTTCGACCTTTTTCGAGTTTCTTGATGATCCTTCCTCGTCCCAGGTCATCCAGACGATGTCTGCGGGATATGCTGTATAGAAAGATAACACCACTGTACTTGGTAGCTACTGGCTGATTGGCAAAAAATTTTACCTATTAGCTGTTTCGGGTAGCCATATTTCTCGCTTTATTCGAACTATCACTCCACGAATGAATGTCCAACTTCCTGTGCATAACTGTCATAGGCCTGACAATATAACCCCACACTTTCATTTACTTACACCCTGTCCTCAATGCTCTTTTTTACATTATCCATGTCGTCCTTAAGTTTTGCACACCAGTGTACATAATATAGTAAGGGATATACAGGGTGGATACAAAGTATGGTCCGGTATTTATTTGCATATAAAAAAATAAATAGGACACATTTCTTTAAGAATTTTCATTAAATGGTATGACTAGAGGAATTTATTCGAGTTATTGTTCAAAATGATCACCTTTGGCCAGAATGCAAGCTTCCATTCTCTTCGTAAAGGCTCCCACGGTGGGCGCAAGTAGTCGACATCAATTTTCTGCCATTCCCTCTGAAGAACTGCTTTTAGACTGTTCAAACTGCGGTGGGGTGAAGAAGACACTTTCTGCTGCAGATAGCTCCAAACGGAGTAATCCATTGGATTGAAGTCTGGAAAGTCAGATGGCCGCATGTATTTGTCTCAGAATCCAGGAAAATGATTTCGGCAGAAGGAAATCGTGGGGTCGGCCCATGTGCTAGTGCCCAGTCCTGTTGCAAGATAATGTTTCTCCAAAGTGATTTAAGATCGGAGAGTGATCTTTGTTCAAAACGTTCTAAAATGACCATCCCGTTGACGGCCGTCTGGGTGTTCGCTTGACGTCCAGAGGAATCCAGTCAGCAACCGCCATGGTGAAGTGTTCGGCCCACCTGATCTTTGATTTCTTGGCAAAGCCACCCTGATCTTCGTTCAATGACGGAGCTCGGAACTCCGGATTCCTTTCTGCACTTGAGTGAATAGGGAAATTCCGAGCATCGTTCTTTCCGAAGCGCATTGGGTAATGCTAACAGCATGCTCATCCTGCTTTCGCAGCCCAAAACCCTGCTTGCCTAGGGCTTCAGTACCACTTATGTCTCAAATGCATCGAGGGCCTTCTTCAAATCGATGAATGTAACGGTGTTTTTTGCACTCGTGATACTTCAGTGAGTCTTGCAACTGTGTGGATGTGATTAGTTGTACTGAACCCAATCCAAAACCTTGCGTGCTCGCATGGCTGTCCTTCATTTAATATTCTGCCAATCGTGTTTAGGGTGACGCTTCTGAAAAGATTGAAGATTACAGACAGCAGGAAGATTGGGCGACAGCTACCGATATCATCGAGATCTCCCTTCTTACACAGCAACACAGTCTTGCTACTTTTCCACGACGTGGACGCTGGATTGCGTCAGGTACCGCGCGAAGAGCCTAGCCGGAGTTCCGACGACAGCTGCTGAAGACTCTTTAGATGTACTGGTTTGATCCAAATCGGGATCAACCGCAGCACAATTATTCATCGACGTGATGGCGTGTCAAAGAGAAGTGAAATAACGACATGCCTAAGTTGGTAGGTAGACAAATAAACGTAGCTCTCGAAGAGATCAGAGTAGGAGTCGTAGGTGATAGTTTTCAATGCCTTTCTAGATGCTGTTACTGATCAGCCAGGACGACGAAAAGAAGTCATCTAGACTGTTTTACTAATACTATCATGACCGTGATTCTGATTTTCGACGAACCGGTTTTATTCCTTATTGATGTTGTTGATAACAGGATCTTCCCAGATACTCGAAATGACAGCGAAGTGGTCCCAGTTTATGGAGGTTGTGGCACTCCGCTTCTTGAATCTCACAGGTCTCCCTCCATGCACTGAAAAACAGAATCCAGCGCGTGGGAGACGATGGACTGATCCCGTGTAGAACTTGGGAACAACAGCGACGTCAGTTTTTCAAATCTTTCAGTTGAAGATGATGTGGTCTATTTCATTGGAACTGTCCACCAGGTGACTGCCATGTCTATCGCAAATGAGACGGCTCTCGAAACTGCGTGCTATCGTGATTGATGTGGGTGGACATGAAAAGCTCGCAGGCTTTCACCTGCTCATTCCATTCCTTTCCATCAGTCCCTGTATGCAACATTTCAGCCGTTTTCAGGGGCCATTCTTGGCTTTGAAATCACCGACGAAGAAAGTATGGTCCTCTCTGAAGATTTTTTTCATGTTCATTTGAGTTCTTCTTCGAAGCTTGATGTTGGTGTGTAAGCAACGAAGGTTTTTGGAGCTGGAGCTGCGCCACATCCTCTTAATCGTAAAGGCCAATTCGAGTTTTCAAGCTTTCGTAGGAATCAATGCTCATGGCGTGCGTGTTGACGAGAACACCTACGCCGCCGACTTCTCTACTGTCACATGTAGCAAGAACAGTTTTTCTCTAATCTATAACACAGCTTGCAGCTCCCGATGCCTTCTCGTCTCAGTTCAATGACGTCGTACTACTTGTTCTTACTACCTTGCCTGATCAGATCTTCGATATATGCTTCCGATGCAAGCGTTCGTGCGCTAAAAAAGCAGGCCACAATTCTAGCCCTCTTTTTGAGCAGCCTGTTTGGCCCTGCGATTTTAGCATCCTCTACGGAGCTGTTCTAGCCAACGCTGTCGTGTTAGGGACCCCTTCAGGTACAGGGAAATGAGGCCATTTATATCAATGTTTTTGGCATATGGGTAACTACCAGTAGCTTACAGGCTCTCAATTAGGAGCTGGATCGACCTCGGGTTTCTAGCCAGGCTATCCCAAAGTGGGCAAAGGGCTTTGTTTTTGGAGGCGCCTTCCAGATTAATCCCAGTCATTCGAATGCAAGCTTTTGGCTGAGTCGATGGGCAGGATACCAACTTCACCCACAGACCCTCCGCACACGAATATGCGTGGATAGCCTGCGAGAAACAGAAGGTATATCGATCAGCACAGCACAATCGAATAGTCCACCCCTGACATAGACTAAGACACACGTATGCGTGAAGGCACTTCGACCACAGTAGAAACAGGAAGTCCATATGCCGGATCCATTTTCGTTTCTGGGCAAGTATTGGCGACTTGGTCCTATAAAATAACAAAATATATAATATAACATATTTACCCATATGATAGGTAAAAACTAATGAGGGCTGAGAAAGCCTTCAAAAGAGAGAAGGTTCGGTTTCATTACGTATTATTCGTAATCCTCTTGTGACTGACGGAAGCTGAATCGAATGTTCTACAGTCCTATCTAGAAGATATCTGGATACCGTTGAAAAAGTAAAAAAGCAGTCAGAAGTTATTGAAAGAAAAGATAGAATTTCATCGCAGGACGAAGCGGTCCCATTCAATAACATTCTGGAGCTGATGAAAACGAAGGAAACAAAGTGAAAGGAAAGCCAAGTGTACTCAGCCGGCTAGGAAAGTACTAAGGAGGAACTGAAATTAGAAGTCCGCATTTGTTTTCAAAAAAGGTAGAGGCTCTGCAAAAAAGATACTTATTGGTTAGTGGCAACCAAAGAGTTCAGTCAATAGCTATGGTGGGTGGCTTGAAGGGCGAAGCCGAATCACACATAAATAACTCGTTTCGAAAATATGCTCGGGCCCAGAAAAAGGTGGGCAGAAACTAGTCAACCCCACTGGCGACCGCACACTTAAGGCGTGTCTGGCGCGTGGGACCTGTTTTTTGTGAGCTACCACTGACGTTCAGCGGGTGAAGGGTACATCGCCACGGATGTCGATCAATTTCGACCAGTCGGTACTGATCATCGCTGATAAGTTGCTCACAGGTTTTTCAATTGTGTTGGTAGGACGTTCAAATTTTTGAAGGTTTTGAGTAGGTGTGATGGGAAGTGCGCTGGTATCAATCGATATCGATCATTCGGTTGCCATGGATATCGATTTGCTGCGTAATCGATCAGCGTTTTACATTGCTACACACATTAAAATAGAATGTTTGAACTTTAAAGGCACCGTTCACGAAACAACGGTTTCGGAAATCTGCACATGGTTTGAATTCGACGCCCCCTCTGATACCATTTGTGCAGAAATGAGGTCGGAAAACGGTCTGGATAGGACACAAGAAGGGGCCGGAGAGTGAGCCACGGTCGCCCTCCGCCCCTCGCTAGGCTGACTACGAAATCTAATTGCCGTTCACCACTTTCGCATTGGAGCGAAGTTGGTGAAGAATCGGTGAGCTGGTTGGCAAATTGCCAAAGACAGCCAGCTGGTCGACCGCCTCCCTCTGGAACTAATGTTCGGCTGTATTTCTACTATTCGACTATTATTCGACTCTATTCTATTCCAATTAATTATTCTCTGCCGTCATCAAAAGGATCAGGCACAATAATCTCGCTTAATATCGTCAGTAGAATAAATAATATTAACGAAACCAAAATTAGCCGTTTGAGCGTGTTGTGTGCATTTGCAGACATTACGTCGCATTCCTCTACTCGTCTGAAAATTCCCTTAATCACCGTATTTCCACTATGAAACTCGTCCAACTCCCCTTTTTCTCTTTTTTTTCGACCGATTATATTTCCTTTTTTTCGCTGTTTTTCGCGTTTTATGCTTTACCATTGTCCTAATGTAGGCCTTACCTATCACTATCTGTGAAATACCGGATACCCCTAATTTATTGTGAACCGTGCCTTTAACGACTTTAACGGTATAGAAGAAGTACAATAGGAACATCGCTACAAGTGGTAGCGATCGATATCGGTTCAGACACTGAACAATATCGACTTCTGCTGCAATTTTCTTAGCGGAAAAGATGAATTGATGCGCACGATACGCCTTTTAGCAGTTGGATTATTCGGCTTATTTGTATTATTTTTCACTACACGATCCGACTAGTGAAAGAAATGTGAAATTGGTTGATCAGAGGCATTCAAAAATTGACTGGAAAAGGAATGTAGCACTACAGGCGGGCATGCCTAATTACTGGCAGCCATATTTTTTATTTTATTATGCATGTAATACATTTATAGACTCGAGCGAAAAAAAAACATTCCAAAAGGTACAAATTGAAGAATTCTGTTTGACACATTATGTTCTTGTTGATTTCCGCAGTGTTGTTCATTAGCCATCTTCCAGACTTTGGACATCCCAACGATAGAATGGTCCGGTAGCGGTTTGAAACTGGAACTAGGCGGAAGGAGAGAAGGCGAGCATGTCTTCGTTACCCAGGACCTCTTCAATCAAGCCACTGTCTCCGATCTCTATGAAGGATTGCGGGCTCTTGAAGAACACAAAATAGGATACCCACTTATGGTGAGAGGCTTCTCATCTTTCCTGCCACTTTATATTTCATCACGTGAGTAATATTTACGGAGTTAAGATATGGTCTTAACAACATGTGTATTAATCCAGTCCATAATCGACTCTGTTAACCTCGGTCTGATTATGGTCTACCTTTCATGTGTTCATTTGAACCTCCGAAATTGGTAACAAAGAGTTTTATCGACATCTAAGGTTTCGACGACTTGCCTCTTTCAAAACATGTAATTCGGAAGCGTGCACGTCATTCGCGCGACTTATTCAAATAACAGAAATGATTTTCAAGGTCAGTTAACCGAAAGCGGCACCAGGGGGTGTTCCCAGCAGAGAAGAAGTCTATAGTCTGTATCGAGGTGTAATTTTCTTGCCGTATTTTTACTAATGATATATAACGCGGTGGTGTGTGCTTGTCCATTTGCTTGTCTGCCTGTCGATAGCGATCGATATTACCTGAAGGAGCACCTGGAGAAAGCAAGTTCAAACTGGGGTGAATCCAGCGTAGAGCAAGGTCATTTAGACTTCCGTGAGCTCAGCGGATCTCATGGATAGCGAACATGCCTAGGAGTTGGTGATGTGAACTTCATGACTTGGATTCGTAAAAGCCCGGACGCCGGGAAAAATAAGAAAAGGTCAGAAATTGATTAATAAATTAAATGAGGGAGACCCACGCGCTGTGGGCGAAGCCTACCCACAGTGAACGATTCCTTTTACACAAATCCATACGTCGATCCAATGAAGGGCTGGAAGCAAGAGAAAAGGTCAAAAGGTGAAAATGAGCAAGGTCTCACTAGTGCTGAGCATCCGTGAACTTAGCGAAGCTCGCCTTACGATGGACGAGGCATGCCTTACGTGGAAGGTATTTCTGGTGGGAATTACCTCACATTTTCTATAGCTCCGTTCAGAAACATTCTAGAACGCGAGAAAGTAGGGGTGAGATGCTGTTTGAGGGATGTGCTGAAATCCTCAAAGTAGGCGGGATTTGCCCTGAGGTAAGCAGGGCTAACAAGGGAAGGATACTTGTTCGCGGTGGCCTTTCAATATGAGACGTATACCGCCGTAGATGGTTTCGAACGCTGATCTCGGATGTGTGTTCTAAATCTGTTTAAAGATTTCGGGAACAAAGTTACGTGACCAATTCTTAAGTATGTTATACCACTATACTGAAATGATCACCCCAACAAGCAAAGTCCTAGATGTGCAACGGTGTCTCCAAATGAGAAGAGATGCATGCCTGAATGTGTTGCTTTCCGACGCACCTTATGGCTGGAAGGCTGAATCACCGGCGACGAGGAGTGTTATTTTCGTCAGCCACGAGGAAACGCTAGTGGCTTGGGCACGTAGAGCATGGAATTCCGACCCTCAAACCAGAACTCCAACCCATATTCACTGTTCATATTCACTGCGTTCAACAGTGATGTAGCCACCTATGAATCTCACCAAAGCCACGTTCCAGGCACTTTAGAAAAACTCAGAATGGAAAGTGTGCACTATTCGAACCGTAGCTTGTAGACCATTAGCAAGTCCTTCCTTCAAGAACTCCCCTTCCCCTTTTTCAGAAAAGGCCACATTATCTGTGTTGCGAAATGAGGCAGCCAATAACCGAAACAACACTTTATTCAGCGGCTAAATGATAACAAGTAGGAAGTTGTGTGATTAATAATCAATTGTGCCTCCATCCCTTCTAACTACCTCAAAAAGGGTGTCTAAGCTAAAGTAAAGGCTATCAATGAGTTGCCGGCCAGCTTGGTGCCAAGCACCGATGATTGCTTTTTCAGCTCACTGATGCCTCCGAATTGCCGCTTAATTATGTAAACCTTTCTTACCATGAACTTCCATACGTTTTACTTTGGACTCAAGTCGGGGCTGTTAGCTGGCCAGGGCGAAAGGTAGATTTGGTGCCGACTAAACCAGGCCTGAGTGTTCCGGCTAACGTGATTCGGGGAATTGTCCCACTTTTGCGATGTTTTGCTGCCGAATCTGACGCCAGAGAAAAAGAAAAGCACGACGCATTACTGAGAATTGAGCTTCTCCGGAACAAAACATACATGCGGATCTCTGCGAGAAGAACCTGCCGCCCATGCCTATGACATCTCCTCCTTTGAAATTTCGTCTGGTAAACTGAAACTTATATTTTCTCAGATCGTATCAGTAGAAACAGTTGCGATCTGTGCCATCATATCCGAATTTTTCACTATAAAAACAACCTTCTGAACGAAACATCAAGAGAAGAAACTGTGAACGACATGGCACTCTTCTGCAGGAGTCTAGACGAAATTGTCGACACCTGCGTGGCATCGGCCCGAATGTCGAGCGATTCTACTTGGCAATTCCTGTTTTTGGGCGAGAATTTGACCCGTCTCGAAATCGGATTGCAACGGATCCTTCACCCATAACCTGAATTGGAAAAATTTACACAAGTGAAGCAATTCTGTATAATGAAAATTGGAATGCTGTTCCGGATGCTAGAAACTTAGGGTTTTGTTGAACTCTTTCAATATCACCTTGCAGCGGTTCAGTGGATTTGTAGTAAATGGTGAGAGACCAATAGAACGAATTCGAGCAAAAAGTTTATCACGTAGGGATAGAAAACGGCATATGTGTTTCGGAAGAGGGTGGTGTCCTTCACGGGTGGTTTGCCCCCACCAGATGTGCATCGTGAGAGTATCATCGTTTGCAATGCTTAGGTGATGATAAGCGCGACGAGAAAATATGATGTGACTGTATCATTTTGAAACAGGCGAACTAAACATTTCTGAAAGAAATGATGAAGAAAATTCTCCATGTTGTCGAGGTGGAACTTGCTGTTGGTCTACAAGACACGGTCCAATTTGGGCGCACTTTCCATCTTGAACCTTTTCCTTGTGTGCCGTGGAGTATAAGCTTAGGTGAAATGCATAGGTGGCTGTATCATTATTTAACACATTGTAGTAGTTAGCTGTTAGTTGTCGTGAAAGAAAAAACGCAATTCGAAAAAGAATACGGAATGTGCAATTCATATGGACATATACACATATACAAGTTGCATCAGGATGGTCCACGTTCCGCGCCATCTTGATTTTAGTTGGACCCCATCCGCTTTGTGAATGTTGTGGCTGTTCGCCAAGATTTGGGTACATTGGATTGGGTCAAACACGACAATAAATAGCCTATTCATAGAATGGCAAAAATTCCAAAGCCGCAAGACATCGTGTAGGGGCGTCAGCTGAGCACTCCAGTTGCACTCCTTGACGGGGGGCGCGCGATTCACGCGTGACCCCATTAGAGCTTTTCGCGCACGCAGCATCGTTTCAGTACCTTTCTGTTGTGATGGACCAAGTAAACTTGCGGTGGAACACGGATTAACTAAGAATGGAGCAAATCTCATCACTATGGCAAAAAAGCCCCTTCAAGATTGAGAGTACACCTCATAGGTCAACAATTTGCTGGTCAAAAGTTGAAAATAAGAATACCTTCAAATTTTTTAATTCTAGAGAACGCAATCCTTCTGTAAACGTTCATAGTTGGCCATTTCTCTACTAATACTACTTATAAATTATTATTTCTTCCGTTATGGTGGTAGGCATGATGTTTGGCGTGTTTTGTCCGATGACCTCATTATAATGACGCGTGAATCGCACCACACCCCTCCTTGACACAGTAGATCTACCGGACAGCGCCAATTGACGTGACGCGCAAATGTTGTCGACGAGAAGATGGTCCTGAAAATGGAAACATGAATTAACTCTAAACTATTTTCTGCTTGTTCGGTTGTTGGCTTTCTATTTCACTTTTCAAGGTGTGCCACGTTTTCCGTAGCGCGTAGTCAGGTCGTTGACTGGGTTATCACTTATTCGTTGCTATTTTCACTAACTGCTTCAATAGAAGTTATTCTTTTGTTTTCTCCGATAAGTGTCTTAGTGCAGAGCTCTCTGATGCAGTATCACACGAAATGAAACTTTCCATGGGGTGGCCAATCAGGATAACGAGATTTCCCTTTTTCCTGCTGAGATTTCCACATGAACTCTACTCCTAAATTCGAACTTCGTGTGTTTTTGAGTGTTCCACTCGCTATCGTAATATTCCTTTTCATCCTATCACGATATTCATTGGCATTTTCTGAAATTTAATTACGAGCCATTTTCAAATCATTTCAGAAAACCAACTTTATTACAGTCGTAATCTACAGTATATAGTGATAAATCCTGTGCTGGTATAGTAGCCGAAGGTAGACAGGAATATGGCCATATGGTAGAAAATAAGGACTTCTCCGAGTTGCTTTATGTGGCGCTGTATGTATGCATATATGATCTTGAGTCCTATCCATGCTAATCCTATCCAACTTCGGGAATGCAACTGTCTTTTTCCTAAGCATCCTAGCAGTGGTTACATTGGCTCTCCGTCTTGATCTTCTCAAGATTTTTGTTTCATGCTCATAACTCAGCATGGGACCTAAATGATGGATTCCTCAAATCCACGTCAACGGTTTAAAAGCAAAGCCACAGATCCACTTACTTAACAGTGCTTTCAGCAACTCTTCCAGCCTTTTTGTAGGCAATAGGATACGCTCCTGAGCACTTTGTGAAATGATCTATAATGATGACTAGTAGCGATTCTCGCGTGTACTTAGGTCCAGTTCGAGTAAATCGATCCCGACAATTTTCAATGGTCTCATGAGGCCATTGGCTTGGGAGGAAAAATGTTTTGTATTTTGTTATCCATCAGAAAACATGTCGGCATAGTTTACACCACTTAACCAAGCCTTGTTACATGTAATACTTTTTCAGCTGATGAGGCATTTTCAAGCGTGAAAACGTTCTCTGGAACAGCAGTTATTTAAGAATAACTCGAAATGAACTTGTGATGATACACATTTCCAGAAAATTTCTCAAGTGAGCGATATTGAGCGGTATAAATTAATTCCGAAAGTATATCTTGTTATATTTGGTTTTTACGCCATTCCTGTCCACAACAAGGCCGAAATTTCTTACCAGGGAATTTTTCAACTTCCCATGGAACTTTGAATAGAGACCTAAGTATATCGATGGGGTTTGGAAAGCCATTATCTTAATTTGGAAGGTAAAACTGCTAAGTGAGTTTACCAAAAAAGTCGTAAGTTGCACGCTCGGAGCATGGAGAGATAGTGCCATTTAACAGGCGCAGTTGTCCGCAGCGGCCCCTAGTGCCCCATGGTGCAATGGCAAAGCTCTAGCCTCTCCAGGCGAGCGACGAGGGTTTGCTCTACGTAATCGTTTTGGTTTTTGCAAAACATGCTTTCCATCGGATAACAGCTCTTCAACCGTTTTTCGTTCTAATTCAGATTAGCATTCTGTTTCCGCTATCATTTGCGATTACCTATCCATCAGCTATCACCGCACTTATCAGAAAAATTCTCCTCTCATTTCTGTAACGTTCTTTTACTATCAACATTGAAACACACTCCCCCAAGTTAAATCGTCTTGAACATAGATACGCGAGAAAACTCAACATCGATGTAACAACCCGAAAAATGGGTAAAGAAAACGTGAATCTTTTGTTTAGAATTTGAGTGTTTTGTCCACGGCTATAG